CGCCCAGCCCTGGGCATCACGTGCGGTGCTCCTCTGCCTCTTCAGGAAGACCAGATTCCTTCCCTGGGGTCCAAGCTTCCCCTACCCCGCTCACATCTCCTTCCCAGCAAGTACAGTAGAACAAGCTGTGTCACCCCAAGTACCTCTGAACTTTTCCTCCCTACCTGGCTTTGCTCTCCCTGTGCTGCTTGCATCTCAAGATGGGAATGAAGGAGGGCTTCCATCCTTTAAATACCTCTGTACTGTTCAACGTTTCTTAATGAATAACAAGAATTACTTTAAGTTTAAAAAACAACTGACTGCCAGGGGTGTTGGTACACGCTTAAATCCCAGTACTCGGGCAGGCTGAGGCAAGAGGATGGCCATGAGTTCAGGCCAGCCTACGCTACACAGTGAATTTAAGGTCAGCCAGAACTACAGAGCAAGACCCTGTCTCAAAAAAAACAAAACAAAACAAAAACAAGTGGCTTTCAAGGACTAGTTTATTTGTTTGTTTGTTTGTTTTCCCTGGTAAGGGGAATCGAACTCACAACCTTGCACTTGCCAGGCAGGCGCTGCGCCGCTGAGCTAAAACCCCAACCCATCAAGGACTCGTTTAAAGCCACCTTCTGCACATGTTTCCTTGACCATCCCAGCTCAAGGAAAATTTCCCATATTTCTCCTTGTTCTAATAATGTGTCCTCCCACTTAATTGCATCTTACCACAGACTTCCTCTTGCAGTGCTAATACTACTTCTTCTTAACTTAATTTTTACATCCAGTAGAGCAAAGACTGGGTCTGATGCATTATATCTTCCCCAAATTCTTAGCCACTGCCCAGGGCAGCTACTGACAAACATTCATTGAAGTGGTAAGGGAGTTTCTAAATCTTTAGGGTGCAAATCTAAACTTTCCCTGGTTAGAAAATAAAAGTTATCTCTCTTTGGAATGTAAGTAGGGTCTTCGCGTTACAAAAGACTTTTTCAGGGGGTTCATCACTCAAATTCTTTTTTATTCCACAATTCATTTGGTAACAAGCTTGTCACTTACTGTAAAGGCTGTAACACTGTTTGTTAAAGGGGTGTGTGTGTGTGTGTGTGTGTGTGTGTGTGTGTGTACCAGCCTACTTTCTCTCAAGAAGCCCTAGAATGAGATCAATGATGAATGAGACCAAAGTATAACTTTCCAAAAGTATAACAAGTCACATATTCTGACCAGATCCACTCTCCCAATTGAAAAGGATTTTTTTGTTGTTATTTTTTAAGACAGAGTCTCACTATGCAGTGCAGGCTGGCCTTAAACTCACTATGTAGTCTATCTAGGTTGGCCTCCAGCTCCCAACGATTCTCCTGCCTCAGCCTCCCAAGGGCTGGAATTACAAGCGTGCACCACCACACCTGGCCCTAAAGGAAAAGGATTGCCTGGGTTTCAAGCCCTTCTACAAAATTTGAAACCAAATGCCACCCCAGCAACCCAAGTGCCAGAACTTTAGCAACACAGGCAGGGCCCCCTCAAAAGCTCACTCCATGTGAAAAGCCCTCATTAAACTCAGAGTTATATTTAGGAAAAAATGGAACAGAAGTTATATTTAGATGAAATGGCTTCAGAAAATTTTACCAAAAGCAGCTTATGCTGATCCTCTAAAAGAAAAGATTTTCCTTAGCTGTTACACACAATTCCCAAAAACAAGCTCTGGGAGCAGACAGAAAGATTTCTGCTCATCTAGAAGAACAGGACGGGGCTGGGGATATATAGCTCAGTGGCATAAGTGCCTGCCCCGCAAGTGCAAGGTCCTGAGTTCAATTCCCGGTGCCAAAAAAAAAAAAAAGGAGGGCCTGGGGTGTGGGGAAAATTAAGGCAGGAGAAACAGCACAGGACACAAAGCACTTAGAAATGCACACACATTCAAAGAGCAGAGCAACTCCAAAGATCTGAGCTGAGATGATCTGAAGCAGTCTGCCAGTAACTCCTAAACTTAAGCACGGGACACACAGACGCCCTTGGCAAACACGCTGGCCACTCTACCTAGACACGCTCCTCTCCCAGATGTCACCAGCACTCACACCGAGACTACGCCCTCACCTTGGAGCCAGCTTGCTCAACACATGCAACATCTTTCTTTTGGCCCTTCTTGTCCATTTTTTTTTGACATCTATTTTCTAACGTATCCACTTTAGAGGTGGTTTTGTGAACCTGTGAAGTCTTTCCATGAATGACTGCAAAATCTGGGCGTAGCTACCGGAAACAGAACCGGTCAGTGTCAATGGTTCCTCTCTTCACAGGCCACAGGGCTCAGAGGCTTGGAAGTCACCCCAGGTTAAGGGGCCCTCTTCTCTAAAGAGCCTCAGGAAGAGGCCACTTCCAGGCCGGAGGGCAGAGAGCAAGGTGGTGATACATGCAGGGAGGGGACCTGGCTGCGGGGCTGGCCCACAGCAATTGGGTCAGTGGGTGAAGCTGCGGAGGCCGGCTGCCTGCTGTCCCTGAGGGCCAGGGACGCTGGGGAAACACTGCAGACAGTCTCCCAGCGGGAATTTTCAGAAAATGTTAGAGCAGCAGACTACCCGACTTGATACCGCTTAGAGGCCTCACAGCAGCAAAGCCCGCAGTTGTGCAGTCTGGAAGTGAAACGAAAGACCTAAGACGCCAAACACAGAGAGCAGATCCTCTGTTCCAGGGACCTCCTGTCCCCAGGCCGTCAGCTCCCTCCCTCCCTTTCCTCATTCTACATCTATCATTTTACCAGGCTGGGAACACTGTCCACTCTCCAGGGAAAATCACATTAATTACCTTGATCGAGTCACAGAGAGGGAAATCACAACCTCAACCCCTAGTACAATCAAGTACCTAAGCAGCTCCTTGCTTCTTTCCTTGCTGGCCCAAGGATGGGTCACGTTCGAAAAAAACTTGTTCAAAGAAAACTTGTTCGGTACAAAAATGAACTTTGTAACTGACCAGGCAGGAATACTACAAGGGACACAGAAACACTGGGGGAAGCCCATGGAGGTGGCACATGCTTGTGATCCCAGCACTTAGGAGGCTGAGGCAGGAGGATCACTGAAGTAAAAAAAAAAAAAAAGAAGCCCTGGAGGGATTAAACTTATTCTGTAAGCCAATGTACTGGGGAGGCAAAAGATGGGGAGCACGCTAAGGTCCCAAGTAGGTGTCTCAAGAGGGTGGGAAGGGGGCAGCACAGGCAATGGCTATAAAGGTGAGCTGGGGTCACCAGGGGAAAAGCAGACTTCTCCAGGAACAGCTCTACAACCAGGCCTGGGCTTAGTCATGAGGAATCCCAGATGAAGCCTTTGGAAGTTCTTATGCAAAAGAACACCTAAAATGAAGGCAGGGAGGTCGGGGAAGATACACAGTCTCACTTCCGCTCCTGGTGAGGAGGCACCCACAGACAGCAGTCTAAGTCTTTGAAACCAGCAGGCTGCGAGAACCCTAATGTCCTGAAGGATAATGGTGCCTGCAGGAGACCCCTGGTGGAGGGGGCAAAGAGCCTCTGCGCGACAGTTTTGGAGGCTGCCACTGCCCAGGACCTCGCTTAAGGCTGACATACATGGGGGGCTCCAGGCCCCTCTCCAGGCAGCCTCCCCACAGACGGGAAATGGGGACTTCAGGGCAAACACCCCGCCTCTCCTCAACCCGGGTAGGCACTGGAGGTCTCCACCTCCTCCGTCAGCGGGTGAGGGGGTGAAAATCATCCACTTTCACACACTTTTCCTTGAAATAAGAATGAGAAAAAGAAACCGCCACAGGCCAATATCCAGCTCGCACTCGGGACCGACACTCCGCTTCGGAGACGCTCCAATCCAGCAAGGCCGGGGATGAGGGCTCTCCTTCCTCCCAGCCTGCTCCCTGGACCAGAGCCTCCCACACCCCATCCAGACAGCAGCGCCCCTCCGAACTGGCTGCGGAGGACAGGGCTCTCCACCTGCGGCCACAGGATGACAGCAGCGACAGCCCATTCAGCGCCTGTTTCTCCAGCTGCCCTTGGTCATCATCATTATTTAGAGGTAACTTTAGCATAAAACGAGCTTGCCCACTCGTGAGGGCCCAACGCTTTCTGTCCCCCAGTCGAGAACGAACTGGCCGTCACAGGGAAGCTGATCGGGAAGCAACGAGCGGGCACAGGCGGCAGCACCAAGCCTGGCACTCAGTAGGCGCTCGCCCGAGCGCTGCCGTCGGACCCAGCGCCTGGGCAGGGAGGGAGTCAGGCTCGGGGCACACAAAGGCCTGGCCAGCCCGGGGCTGTACCCCTCGCTGGTGGAGGGGGGGGACTGAGAGCTGGAGAGGGGGCGAAGGAATCCGCCCTCATTTGCACGTTGTCTGGGGCCCAGTCAATTTGCTTAATCACCGCTCTAAATGCCAGCGCACAGCACACAATGCGCGCCCATTAACAGGTTTAAAGTGTCGCAGCGCTCGCTTTAAATGAGAAAAGCCCGCAACAAAGGGGGGAAAAAGCCAAGTTCCTCAACTGGAAGAAAGCCTTGGGTAGCCCTCGAAATCTCTCTTGCAGTTCAAAATCCAGAGCTCCGCAGCAGAAACGCTGAGGCCCGGGAGTGAGGGCTGCGGGGTGGGAGGTAGTTAAGACAACCCGGGTTGTTACGAAGCAGCTCACAGCCAACACTGAACCCGGAGAACTTTAGGGCTACGTCAACCCGGCTCCTCCGGGCACTGCCCAGCTGCCAAGGAAAGCCGGCCCATCTCTAGAAAGGAGAGGGAGATAGCCCAAAGTGGGCACGAGTCCAAGTTTTCACTTGGGACAGGCAAAGAGCTTTGGAGGCTAAAGAAGATCCCCGAGGTGGACGCCAAAGCCTCGACCCGCAGTGAAGGAAGAAGTTAAAGGAACTTTGCCTTCGGCCAGACCCGGGCCAGCGCGGCCTCACGCTCGGCGCCGCGGAGCAGCTCCACCCCGCAAACGAGTTCGGCCGGGGATGGCGCGGCGGCCCCCTCCCCCACCCACGAGAGCCGGGGGGCTCCGGCCCGGACCCCACCCCGGCGCGGCGCCGCTCGCTCACCGTGCGCGCTCCACCCGGCGACAGGGGTCCGTTGGAGAGGTACGGGCTGCTCAGATCCGGGATCATCAGGAAGGGGTACCCAGGGTAGGGGGGCCCCTTAAAGTATGCGCCGTCCTGAGGCCTTCTCACTGCAGACAAAACCGAGGCAGGGTGAGGCCCGGGCCCCGGGACAGCGCCACAGCGGGGGGCTCCGGGCGGGGGCCGGGACCCGGAA